AATGCCAAGTTAGTGCACTGCTGCTATCCTCCTGCCCCAGCCCCTTAAGGGAAAAGGATTTTTGGTTACTCCAGCTTAACCATTCTTAACAATCAGACGTCCTTCTCAGAGCAGCAGCTCTGTACTTATTCAAAAATAGCCCTTTTTAGATATGTCAGGTTAGATGTAAAAAATAACTCTTAATTATTGGCCCACCAAAGGGTCAAGCCTTTAAATAACTGTACACATCTTACAAACATTTCAAAGGAAGAACACATCCATTTGTTATTGTGAATACCACACTGGCATTTATGTAATGTTCATTGTCTCTGTGACATGACCTTGAATCTCATCAAGTGTTCAAGTCTCTCCAGGAGCAAGAGCAGAACAGACAGACTAATGGGAGTGCTTTAAAGCCCCATTAGAATAAAAACAAAACTAGGGAGGACAAGCACTTTCCCTTCTCTTCTTTTTCTGCCACCCTGCTGAAATATCCATCCTCATCCAGTCCCATTCCATCTTTTCTTGCTAGCAACTCTTTTCCAAACCCCCCTATAGTCCAATTCAGAGGCTTTTTGCCTCCCTTTCCGTCTTCATGTCTTCTTACTGCTCAATTTCTGTCTATGCAGATGTGTCTCAATCTCTTGCTTGAACACAAGCATCCCAAGCTGGCCATGAGAAGCCTCGTTCATGGCCTTGGACTGCATGCACATTTTGTACTGCTCTGGGGTCAGCTCATCCAGACACTGCTTTTCATGCCACAGATGGAAGAGACCCCTGACAGGCGTTCGGATCACGATGAGGTTGCTGTGAAGGTATTTGCGGTACAGATGGACATCTTCACCACCCCAGCCTTTAATATCCAAGTCAAAGCCACCTGACACAAACAAAATCCAAAATAAAACCAGAAATATAGACACTAGCAAATTCAATGCTGTTAATTGCAGTGTGGCTGTTTTCTGGCTGCAGTCTGCCCTCTAAAACAGACACACTTTCTGTAAACATAACAGTGCCCACATTTTTTACCTTCAATTCTTTCACCATCAGACAAAACTTTATTTATACTGAGCAGTGCTTAGGTTCTGGTAACCTCTATGGCAATTGGGAATAGTCTGAACACCTAACTACAGCACTGCTGCAAATTAGTGACATAGACATAGTGGCCAAGGTAAGGGAGGCTGATCAATCCTGCATGGTTAAGCAAAAAGGTAGGTGTATTTGGGTGTATTTTTCTTACCTATATTGATAAAATCAGATCTGTACTGGCAAGTCATCCCAAAACCAAAGTCTCTCCAAAATCCAGTTTCTTTTTTAATAATCTGCATGGAGGGAAAGGAATGTTTATATGAAGCAGAAATGCTTTCAGAGTGAGTAGCAGACAAGTCCCTGAATCGAGTCAGAAATAGGAGCAAATGCCCTTTTATTCTTCCCCATGTGAATCCATAGCTGGTCCTGAACCCATTTTTGCAGACACTCATTGCATATACCTGCCCCTCAAAAAACAGGAGTGTTATTAGCTGTCATGGATAAACACCCTGTTCCAGAATGATAAGGTTTTGCTCCACTCCTGCTGTTGCAGACTAAGGAGAACAATATAACTCCACTCTGGATTTTACTTCTTTGCAGCAAAACATCCTCCAAAATTGCCTGTTGCTGTGGGATTCAAATCCCATGTAAGAAATGTACTGGTAAGCCAGAGAAGCCAGACTCTGCTGTAGAGCAGGTGGTGGCACCTGGATTGTGGTCCACAAGATCTCTGGAAGAAAACATTGGTTCTAATCTGATCTCACAACTGACAGCTTTTTGATTACCTTAATTTGGACAAAAATTAGGAAAGAAGCAAGAATAATTTTCCATTGCAGAACTGCTATATCCAGCTAAAAATGAAGTCAAGAAGTGTTAGGTGGTAGATATATATCCCATTAAAGCCTTTGTAAAAATGAATGAGCAGTCTACGTTATTGAGATGGACCATGAAAACATTCTGTATTACAGGTAGAAAATCAGAGCAGTTAGGCTATAATTTTGAAAAGCAGGTACCCAAGTATAGATCCTTATGGTCATACATAATTCATGCACATGAATAACCTAACCCAGAGATGTCCAAGAGTTTCAAGAGACTGGGAGAGGTATTTAAATCCTCTGAGCAAGTCAGCAGTACTTCACACTCTTCAGCTTCTGGTTAGAAACCTACCCCTTAAGAGCTGCTTTGGAACATTTACTTCCCTTGTGACAGTTACAGAAGATGAGGAGACAGCATTTCCATTTCTGGATTTACAAATCCCAGTGTTTCCTGTACCAAGAAATGCTCTTCCAAAACAGTCTCTTCTGATTTCTTGTTCATGCTTCCCCTTTTTTGTTCATAACTCTTGTCACTTCAATGGCTTTTGTTCTATTTTACTGCTCACATTGCTACCCCTTTGATTTCTCATTTTTCCTTTCCTTGTAAAAGTCAAACCAATGCAGAAGCCAATTAAAAGGAAACAAGATTGTATCTGTCAGGTCAGCAGTGTAACAAGAAGTCTCCACAACAATGCCCTTACAGCAAGCTACTCTTATGCATTAGCATTATTATTTTCCATTAGTGCAAGTGGCTGCTGCACAAATCAAATTCTATCAAAGATTTCTGAAGGCTTTTTTTTTTAACTTCACAGCCTAAGTACCAGGACAGAGAGCTAACACTGTCTTGTTTTAATGGCATAGATCTGGCCTCATGCCTGGGAAGTAATGTGGGCTAAAAATAGAAAAATCTACATTAAAATGAGGTTGGTTGCACTGTTTTTAAATCAAGAAACTTTTCTGACATAAGCATCACATTTTATGATTCAAATATTAACTATAAATATTTTCACAATCCTGACAATGTACTTTGTGGAATTTATGCTAGCTTGAGAGCTAAACTCCATTTCATTCCCTAAGCACAATGCTTACAAGCTTGAGGAACCCTGACAGCTCTCATCAGAAAGAAAAAACCTAACATGAGTCCCATGGTATTATCAGAACAAGGTTCCTCTGAGGATAAAAAAAACAGTGGAAGGGATTTTCCAGACTCTTCAGTAGAAGGCTTCCTGGCTATGTTTGATAACACAGAGAGCAGTAGACAAAATAACATATTCTAAAATATTTTGGACGGACTTCTCAAACTCTCATTCTGCATTTTTCTAGAGGAACTGTATGAGGTGGGGGTCATGATGACAGAAGACTTGATTCAGAACACTAGTGACCTTTTTCAGCTATGACTGTTCTTGGGCTCACAACACCCCTAATTCCTACCTACCCTACCTACCCAGAACAACAATAGAAGATGGGATGTTCTAGGGACAGTGTCCAGCCTGGGACAGGGTGAGCCCTGATAGGTGCATTGCCTGGCAGTAAGCAGGGCAGATGTGGCAAGCTGGGACCTGACCCAGAGGAACTGAATGAAGCTGCATAGCTGGCTCATGCTTCAATTTGAAAATTCAGCCACTTAGCAGCACTAGTGAGCAGAGGACTGTGACCCATTGACTCTGGAAAGAAGCAAGAACACTTCTACCATACTTTTAAGTTCAAGACAATGCAATACCAGAGCACAAGAGAATGGAGAATAGTGACTGCAGCAGTGCCAAGCAATGGCTCTGTCACTAGCATTCATGTGAACCTCTTGTCTGTGCACTTTCTTCCTTGCAGCAGATCCCTCCTCCTTATGGCAATGTTTTTAAAAATAATGTTTTCTTCTCACACCAAACATAAGCAGGTGATACGGAAATCAGTGGAGTTATGCTGTGTTGTACCAATGCCAATTTAAAGCCAGAAGGGACAGCTCCAAGCATATCATTTGACTCCTAGACAATGTGGCACACTCCAGAAACACACTGTCTGCTCACAGGCAGTTTAGTCATGAACTGTGGGATGGGGAAAGCCATGTAAGGTGTTCAAGTAAGTGGGGGAATAATTGTGACAGCCCCTGGAATTCTGTTTTCACTGACTCATCTGTGCTTTTTACAAATATCAGCTCTTCAAATGCAGGTACTATTGAGTACAAGGAAGAAATAAGAGCAGGATTGGGGACTGTCACTCCAAGGCACACACCACAGAGGAATTGTTCACTGATCAGAAAATTCCTTCTGGCAAAGAAGCAGACACAGTTTAAATTCTTGAGTTCCATGTATAAACTTCTAAAAGGGGTTAAAATAAATTGTACCAAGATATTTTCCTGTGAAACGTACCTGCAGAACTCACAGCAAGGTGACTGTTGCAGTTAATTTTGTCCGTGTTGTAGTCACTGTGCACAAGGAATAGGGAAATGCCACCCAAGAGCACATGCATGTTTGAAAAATCCTTTGTCCAAATAAAAGCAGGCATTCAGAGAAGCATGTACTTACCAGCTGCTGTTCTAAAGATGGGATGGAATCATGGTGGCCATAAATTATACTGGGGTTATACTGGCTGAAGAGAACAGGATAAAACACCTTCTTCCCTGGAAATGACAATTGATTATTTTTTTAAAAAGCTGTGTAAAACACACTTCTGTCTTTCAAGTTGCTGTTCAGACCAGACCAAATCCACACAAGTCATGCAAATTTTGTACTAAGCCTATGTTCTTTGCATGAGAATGTGAATGTGAGGATAGAATTAACAAATTCCTGTTCCAGAAAGCACAGGTGTTGAAGGC